GTGTGTGTGTGTGTGTGTGTGTGTGTGTGTGTGTGTGTGTGTACGCGCACACACGCGTATGCACGCCATTCCTGGGGCTTGAATTTAGGCCTCAAACTCTTAGGAATTTTTTTCTTTTTTTTTTTCTTAGGGTTGGTGGTGCTCTACCACTTGAGTCATACCTCCACTCCCAGTTTTTTGCTGGTTAAACTGAGATAAGAGTCTCAGATTTGTCTTTCCAGACTGGCTTCAAACTTTGATCCTCAGATTTCAGCATTCTGAGTAGCTAGGATTACATGTGTGAGGCACTTTTACACAGTAGAAAATCAGAGAGATTCTTTTGCTCAAGACTAGCACTCTACCACTTGAACCACAGTTCCACTTTTTTTCCCTTTAGCAGTTTGTTGGAAATAAGAACCTCGATGATTTTCCTGCCCAGGCTGGCTTCAAACTATGATCCTCAGATCTCAGCTTCCAAAGTAGCTAGGATTACAGGAGTGAGCCATTAGCTCCTCTCTAACTCTCTTCTTTTAGCTATTCTCTTTGACTATCAGGAAAATAAATAAAGCTATCCTCACCTGAAAAAAGTAGTATGAAGAGATAAAAATGACACTGATCTATCAACCAAAAATATAACGTTTAAGGGTTTCTTGCTACTTTTTTATTTTTTTAATTGCTATGCCATCAGAAAACATTCTGGTATTGGTCTAAGCGAGCACATAGTAAACTCTCAGTAGTACTATCCTGTGACTGCTCTTTCCCTACTTATAATTTCCTGGGTTTTGCTAACTTAATAGTTTAAAATGAAGAACAGCCCCCATCTGTCTGTCTTTCTTTACCTCACTCTTTTACTGTCACAAAGTTCATCTTAAACCTTCTGCAGGGAAAGCTGATCAGGTAGCTTTGTTTGTTTTTGACACAGTCTACTTATCTCCTGGACTCCCACCCGGGGCCAAACGCAGTCCACAGGCAGTGAAGCCTCCAGTCAAGATCCCCAGCACCCTGCCCTCCTGCTCTGACAGCCAACTGTCTAGAAAGCTGAGGAAACTTTCAGCCAGTAAGCAGTTAAAAAAAAAAGTCCAAATCTTCTCATAATTAAATAAATCAAATAAACATCCCAAGGGTGATAAAGTTTTACTCTGGGTATAAAGAAATGAATGAATATTAGAGTGTGAATAGTACAAATTTCTGGAAAGCAGTTGGGACACGCACACACACATAATTATATATATATATATATATATATATATATATATATATATATATGCCAAAACGCATCCTCTTTCTCAGGAAAGACAATAGGTGAACTATTAAAGACCAAGTAAACATGCTAAGATTTATTATGGGAATATAATGACCTTTACTTTATAACCAGGCACATATTTTTAAAAATACAAGTTATGAAACTTATCAGTTAACCTATCTTCTTTTAATTGTGATTCTCTCAAAAAATAACACATTTGTTGGTAGCATATCTAAAAGGATGAGGAAATCATTTGGCAAAACATTAATAAACTTTTTCAATTGTTACAAGCAAATTGTTACTAGCAATGTTAACAATAGGAGCGTATTATTCTTAAGGAAAAATACTTCACTAAAAGACTATTACCATGAGACAGTGAACTGGATAGGATAGCATAGACTTGTAAATCCCAACATTTGGGAGACAGAGGATTACAAATTAGAAGCCAGCCTGGATCACGCAAGGAGCTCTGATTCTAAATAAATTAAATTAAATTTCACTTATTTAAAGTAAGAACAATTTGTTCTGTGTGTGTGTAAAATATTAGGGAACAAAATGTCAAAATATTCAATATTACCATTGGAGATACATTTATGATTTTTCCAGCATTAAATGGCATCTACAACCTTCAAAACTGCTTACGGGGAAGTTTTTAAAGCATTATGCCTTTGTAGATTCATGGACCACAGAGTTTTTCACATATTTGGTTCAGAAGTTACTCTCTGAGGAAGTAATGCTTGTTACACAATTTATGCTCCTAACACAAAACAATGATTCTTAGTTTATAAATCACATAAAGTACGTTTTTTATAACATATTTTGAAATCACTGATTTCTAGATTACATTCACTTCAATAGAGCATTATTGCCATAACAAAGGTGCATCTTGTACACATTATAAAGCACTGACATCAGAAATTACATTAAATTTTCAATATGATTTAGTATACTTAGCATATTATAAGGTAGAATGCATGAACATTCGAGTTTTCAACCAGAAGCTTCCATACAATTGCCAGAGTACACTTTGTCAAGTAAAGACCTAACATACATTTCAATCCTTAACTTTCTTTGAACCAAAACCATTTTACAATGACACAAGATTAGGGTTCCATGCAATATGTCTAGATGTTCAAAGTGAATGTCTGAAATAAAAATCTTGAAATATTGATGTGAAACAGGATGGCATTACCCACTGTCTTACCGAAGAAAGTTCATCACATCCCAGTAAGGTGTAGAAATCTTCACTTTCTTCTAACCTGTAATCCAGTATCGAATCCATTGAGATCAGTGAAAATCAACTGCTCTCAGCTACAGAAAACACCGAAGACTTTGATTTACACAGGCACGAAAGCTCTTTAAATACAAATCAGAGCCACCGTACTTTCCCGAAGACAAAGGCTAGCTTTCAGAATCCACCAGATGTCAGTCTACACCTTCGTAAACACTACCTTTCATTGGCCCAGACAGAAGACAGAATAGACCACGTGCAAACCTTGCAGAGTGGCCTGGGAAATGTAGTTTGTTTATGAAGCCACCTCATCCTATGTGTTCATAAAGACTGTTTATAAACTCCCCCAAATTAATTCTCTCTCCATTCCTTGTAGGTTTTATCTTTTTTCTCTTTGTTTTAAGAGAAAAGAAATTCTGAAGAAATACAGTTAAAATCTGAAGATGTGTTCAATATGAATAGTGGTGACTTTCTTTTAAAATACTCCTTTAAAATATTCTATAATGTAGGGGATGGAGTGTAGGCCAATGGTAGAGCACATATCTACTTTATGCCAATCCTTGGTTCACTTTACCAAACAGTTACAATAATAAGAAATTGAAAACAATAAATGTCCAGTGGTCATAAATAACAGTCTATATACTTTGTACACAAAGTAGTCATTTTAAAGGATTAGAAACATTTTCAGCCGGGCATCGGTAGTTCATGCCTGTAATCCTAGCTACTCAGCAGGCTGAGATCTGAGGATTGTGTTTTGAAGCCAGACCAGGTAAGAAAGTCTAGGAGACTCTTTTTTTTTTTTTTTTGGGGGGGGGGTCCGGTCGTGGGCCTGAACTCTGGGTCTGGGTGCTGTCCCTCAGCTCTTCAGCTCAAAGCTAGCGCTCTACCACTTGAGCCACAGCGCCACTTCCAGCTTTTTTCTTTTTGCTTATGTGGTGCTGAGGAATCGAACCCAGGGCCTCCTGAGGCATGCAAGGCAAGCGCTCTACCACTGAGCCACCTTCCCAACCCCAGGAGACTCTTATCTCCAGTAAACTACTCAGAAAAAGCCAGAAGTGGTGCTGTGATTCAAGTGGTAGAATGACAGCCTTGAGCAAAAGCTCAGGGACAACAGCTGGGCCCAGAGTTCAAGCCCCAGGACCAGAAAGAAAAAAAAAAAAGAACATTTTCAATGTCTAAGATGTTCACATTCTTCTATTTGTAAGTTGAATAAAAAAAGGTTATCAGTCTATATTGGGGAAAATTTATTAAGCACTAACATACTTTACCAAATATAAGTTTTATCCCAATTTTTTAAGTAAAAACAAAGCCAGAAGCTGGGTGCCAGAGGAATGAGCCACCGATGTGAAACCAACTTGGGCAGAAATGTCTGAGATGCTGTCTCCAAAATAACCACTAAAAAACAGGTTAAAAGCAAGGTTCAAGTAGTAGTATACAAGCTAAACAAGACTAAGAAGTTCTAAACTAAATCCACACTAGTGGTACATAAAAAGCCAATAACAAATTAAACCAGGGATTGTGATACAGGCCTGTAATCCCAGCACTGGGGAAGCAGAGGCCAGCTGGAAGATCCTGAATTTGAGGCCAGTCTAGACTACATAGCAAGTTCCAGACCAGCCTGACCTATCCAGTCTAGACCTTGCCTCAACGAATGAGTGAATACATGAATGAATGATTTTTATGTTTTATGTTGGGTGATAAGGGTTGGATTCTTAGCCTTACAACAAGCAAACATACATTCTACAACTGAGCTACATCACAGCCTTGTATAAATTGAAAAGTATTTGTAATTACTCAGGAGGCTGAGATCTGAGGATTGCTATTGCTATTTGAAACCATGTAAAGAAGGAAAGTTCCATGAGACTCTTATCTCCAATAAACCACCAGAAAACTAGAAGGGGCATTGTAGCTCAAGTGAGAAAAGTGTTAGATTTGAGCACAAAGCTTGGGACAGTCCAGGCCCTGAAATGAAGCCATAGGACAGGCCTACACACACAAAAGTACATGTGGTATGATTATAATGTTATGAATATATATCTACATAAAATATGAGAAAGTATATATATATAAGATGTCAAATTATTACTAAAGGGGGCTGGAAGGTGGCTCAGTGGTAGAGAGCTTGCCTTGCAAACCAGAGGCCCTGGGTTCGATTCCTCAGCACCACATAAGCAAAAAGAAAAAAGCTGGAAGTGGC